GAATGTGCGTTGCCATGCCTGCTAGTCTGGCAGCATTCAAACCATTCAGCTCTCTCCAAGAAATTCCTCATCTTATTGTATGTTTATTTCTCAGAGCATTCATTATGTATCTGATGCTTTCCAAACAAGAATTGTACAAAGCCTCTCTTCCTTAAGATTTCATTATTTATGGAAGTAAATTTCTCCTCATACATTACCCTTTCTATATTAAAGTACCCCCCAAAACCTTCTTCTCTCACGCCAATAGAAAAATCAATTCTCTTCAGATGACAAGTTTGAGGAATAAGGAGAAAAGAGTTTATATGCCCTAGACAAACTAAATAAACTCTGGTAACATAGGTTTATAACAATACACTGATCAGCACTTGATGTCTCTTGGTCAAAATCTGCTAAATCACACACAGAGAACAGCAGTGTTTCACAAGTCTTTATTCTATGCTGACTGCATAAGAGACAATCCACCATCACCCTTTTTGAGTGGCATATATCTAAAATAAACCATACCTTTACATTGCTACATTTTCACTGTCTTCATTCCAACAGGCTTGAGTCTTTCCCCTTCCCTATTTCCAGCAAGTCTACTTAAATTCTCAACAAAAATAAAATCATGCTTAATTGAAACTTACATTAGCACCTGGATAACTACTCTGTGAACACTGACTACTATGTCTCACACTCCAAAACCAAAACAACATTTAGCTAACAAAAATTCCTCTAAAACGCACGAGAAAAGGATTTTTTTTTTTTCTACCTACAATGCAGGCAGTCTTCCTGGATATGGAGTAGTATAACCTTACTATGAAACCTATGCAGAGCTGTGATACCTGAGTTGATATCTTCATCTGATGCTCCACTCTTAAGAAGAATTTTAACTTTCAAAAAAAACCCTGCTGGATGCAAATCTTCCTGCACAATGAAAAACAATACATTACTTGGACAGCTGTTTGTAGAATACAGATCCCATGAGAGTCCAGCATATCCATAACACAGACAAATATCAGGAAATCACATACACTCCACTGTATTCTTCAGTGCCATTTCAATGACTGAAGCAACAGGTAGGTAACTGGTAATATTTTCTTCTTTCTGTTCTTTCCAAAAGACCATGAGGACAATGAAAGCAAGAGATACATGACTCTCATTTTGCTGTGGCCCACTTCCACTACTTTTAAATAGAAGCTGAACAATACTGAATCATAGAAACTTCCTGCTTTTCTATGTGTAAATTGGCTAGATTACTCTAGAATTAATATAAGCAGAATTCAAAGTAGCTTATAATAATACAAAATTTAGGAGAGAATAACAATGGGAGCAAATGGAAATAATGAAGACTGTATACTACAGCTCTCACTAAAACACTGCACATTTCAGACTCTAGAATAAAAGTTTTCTCCTAGTTTTCCATACTCTCATACAATATCAAAACATACATTATCAAAAATGATGGTAAAACTACTTTCCACCTCAAAAGGTTTTGCAAAAGCAAATACAATAAAAACTGCAAAGGGCTTAGATACTATAGTAGCATGTTATTTGAATGGTTAAAATACACTGCCTTGTATTCTGATCTCACAAGCACCTGCATCATCATCTGTCTGAAAGTTTTAACAGCATGTAGAAAACTGAATTTGAGCTTTCATTTAAAACAGGATTTCATACTTAAAAATTGTTTTGTATGAAACAGATAATTGAAATTTTAAAATGGTCAGCCAAAGACAAATACATATTTTTCAAACTTAAGTTATCTAACCTGAAAAGATAGAAGCACAAAATTAATTCACATCTTTATATGGCAAATGGAATTTGTACAAGAGCAAGAGACCTCACTGTAGTGACTGCTTACAGATATACGAACTTTCTTCAGGGTAGCTGGTATGTTTATACAGCTCATTTTTCAGGTTCCAGAAGAAATAACAGTGATGTTAGTAAAGTACAATAGCTAAATTAATTGTTTGAAATAAGACTGACGCAGCATGGCTAGACAGCTTTCAAAACTGAACTCTGTTTGGCGCTTGCTCAAATACTTGTACAGATAATGAGATGGGTACTCAAAATGTAGTATGGACATATCCATTATAACCCAAAGCAAGACAAAAGGTCTGATGCATAAGAAGCCAGCTGCCGTAAATCTCAGGTGGACCACACTGTAGTTTATTCTGTTTCTACAGTTTTCACGAATACGTGTCAAAGAAATTTTAGTCATATCATTATCAAAGGACCTCACTATTAATAGCTATGAGACAGCAAGACAGCTCTACATCTACATGCAAACAAGTATTTCTCTATTAAAAAGCTGGGAACACCAAAACATACTTAGGAATATGAAAACCAAAGCAAAGCAAACACACCTCCATCTGATTTCAAAGATAACACACCCGCGATTAATGCGGTCCACAATATTATGTTAATAAATGCTTGAGTTTTGACTATTGCACACCATAAGTACAGTAGCACATTACTACCTGATTTGCCAAGCTTATAGCTTTCAATGCCTTGTCAAGATACAGATTGCAATCCCACTCGAAATAGGCTGTAGCTAACAATCGCAGCACTTTAGCCTGGAAAGAAAAATAAACTGGAAGTTTAAATGCCATCTGAAAAGCAGAAAAAAAATCGCCACACATGAACATACATATGAATACAAAAGACTTAAAATTTAAGGTAATGAAAAATAAAAGCTCTATGAGTCAAAAGAATGCCTGCCTGGTATCAGACATATAAAGTGACTACTCAGTTCTGAAGCATACCCAGTCTTCAACACTGCAATTCACACAGGACATGAATCAATTAGAGTTCAGAGGAGAACAGAAGGGTAGCAAGGAAAATCAGAGATCTGGAAAAAACAGAATGAAAGAAGAAATTGAAGGAACACGACGTACAAACTTCACTGAGAGAAAAAAAAACCTAACACAAAGACATACATGATAATGGCCTTCAAATACATAAATTATATATATAAAGAGGAAGAGATTAAAATCTTCTCCATATCCACTGAAGGTAGTAAAAGCAGTAACAGGTTTATGAATGAGACAGATGAGCATCTATCAGAAATGACACTGATGTTAACTGATGATGCCTTGAAAGAAGAGGAGGAATGGAAGAAGAGATGGCCTTTCAGGGTCTACTTCAGCCTTACTTTCTACAATTTAATTTCTGTGAAATAGTAGATTCAAATGTGATTTAAGGGCACCCATCAGTGACTGAACTCTTAGACTGATACTCATAGCAACTGAACTTGCAACTTTGCCAAACTTCATAGCAGACATAGTACTAAAGAGGAGGCCAAAGGTTTGGCACAGCAGAGGCAGATGATACAGTGGAGTCAGGTTAACAAAATCCTTCTATTTGTAAACAGCAATTTCTCTATTTCTTACCTGCATTTCTTTGGCAACAGAATATTTCATGTCCATCTTCCCAATGTCATAACTCTGGCTATCGATAAGTGAAAGTTAGAATTAAATGGGATGACAGAGATAAATTCAGCCAGTCTTCTGATATGTGCAACACTCCTACCCTTTCCCACTTCTTAACCAGTTAGAAACCACATAAATCACACAAACTAATCTCAGTACTCACTCTTACTAGAGAACAGAAAATTTTGTTTTCTTTCTAAATCCTCACATTAAAAATTGTACTCAACACTTTCTTCAACCTGTTGCACCACCTTCTATAACATCTTCTGTTCAAACATTGCAGTAGGATTTATCAGTTTTAACCATAGGCAGTTTGAAGAAGCTAGTGTTCTCATTCTCACCTGACATATAATATAGTCATACACAAAAATTATACATGACCTGATCTCAAGATGACAGCAAATCAATAGCAGAGACAGAAACACAACCTGGGAGTCATGATTCCCATTCTTTTTCTAAAAGTTAAATGACAGCACAAAGGACCACCCAGGAGAAAACGCAGTGGTAATTCCACAAAACCAGATTTGATTGCAAATGCTGTGAACGAAGAACTGCTAGAAAGAAAAACAATAACTGGGCATTTGTTTCATAATATATTCTCAGTACAGGGAAATCTTAACCCACTAGATGGAGCTACATCTCTTTCTCCAGATAATTATTTGCACTTTGCAAAGGTTTATTTCCTCCTCAAATTTTGTCATCAGGACTCAGTATTTAATTTTCCACAAGAATAAAATATAAAATAATCTCCAAAGCACCAGCTGTAATTCATTCTAAGCATTTCTACAAATCCTCTTTGGCAACATATGTGACTGTAACTATTTTGAATTTGATATGTTGCCATTCTCTTCTGACTATTTAAAAGAAAAAGAAAAAGAAGGAAAAAAAAAACCCCAATTTCTGAGCTGAGGCTGTGACCTTGGCATGAGGATACTCTTCCCAATAGCCTACATTTTTTCTTCCTTAGCAGTACCACATTACTTATTTGGATCCTACCCCAACCATCTCTAACTATTCCTTTTTCACCTTGATGTCTGTGTGTTTCATCAGTCAAGGACTTGCTCTCAGTGAAGCACTTCCTTTACAAGAAATTCAAATACTGTTTAAAACAAATCCATTTAAAACAAGTCAGAAGAATTCATCTACTCTTTTCCAAAGCTTTCAAATCCCTTCACAATCATTTATGAATGGCACAAGAACTGGGAACAGCCTCTTCCTAAAAATAATCTCTTTGGAAGAAGTGTTAGGGAAACAATTGACAAGAGCCATGGAAAGAAGACTTTCATTCTAATGACAGTAAATCGATGTGGAAAACAGACATAAATGTTAGGCAACCGAGTAAGACAGTCGGTATCTGCTCAGCTAATTTGGTTCAGCTAAAATCTTGTATTCTCGCATTTTTAATTAAACCTCTACTTTCCCTTGATCCCCCCTCTCCTTCACACATATTTTTACATCTCAAAAGCAGGATTTTATTCTGTTTGCCTTTGCACATTACCTGAGCCAGAAGGAGCTCTCTTCATACCTCTTCCGTTCATATGTTTCCACTCCAAAATTGTAGCAGAGGATTGACAGGTAACAGGTCTGCAATAAAGGACTCCTGCTTTTATAATACTCTTGTGGAAACATCATTAGATCTATGGCACTCCAGTCTCAGGTTCTTTAAAATGCATTTTACTTTAAAGATATATCCACTGTTATCACTTCTGGCCTTATACAAGGGGATATTGAACATGACTAAAATGGAATAATAATTGTGTGGGAAAGTGAAGCATCATTAACCAGTCCAGAACATGCAAAACAACGGGATTCTTGGAACACATGACGTAGAATAGTTCCTCAAGAAATCACGCTGAAAGCACTAGAACTGTTTAAAGAATAAAAATTAAAACTTGAGAGGAAAAACTGGAATATTACAACTTAATTTTTAAAAATGACAAAAAACTTTTACATAGTTAAGTAAAGAGGACTCTTCCACAGTAGGCTTCTTCCCCAGCATGTCTCTTCAGGGTTAAAAAAGGATCATCCACATTACAAGTTTTAGGAGAAAGTTGGTTTTGAATGCTTGGTTATTCAGAGCACTGTTGCTTTCTGCTTTATCACTCAGCCCTGACAATGTCTGTTCATAACAACTTGCCTTTCCTTTGAAATGATTTGCAGCTGTCATATGTCGTCCAAAGAAAAGACAGAAAAGTCATTTTATATCTTCTCAGGCTGCCAATATTTACATCCATTTTGCCTCTGCAGTAACTTTCTTTTCCATGTATAAATGATGTTTCTTGCAAGTGACTACAGCTTTCAAATCCTCAGGCAACAATGAGAGAGAGGTAGCACATATTGCTTCAAATTTATTGTTTATCTCATTGCAATCCAGAGACAAAAGCACAGATTCAGTATGCATGAACAAAAAAAAAGATCACTCTCAGATGTGAAACCCTTATTTTCCGTAAGTTCATTTGTGAACATTTTCTTTCCAGAACAGAAAGTTTACTGTATTGAGAGGGTTTCATGCAAAGTGTTTAGCATAACGCTGTAGACATACCATAACATACCCCAGTCATTTACTTGCATGCTTGGAAAAGAAGTATTTCAAAGGATAATTAAAATACTATTTCAGTGAATGACTGTGTTCCAGGCGTCAAGCGTATCACTAAATATCCCCATAAACCTGGCACTTCTCTGAACAACAAGCGTTTGGAACAATTCTGGCATTTCACCCTGTAGGCCAAGAGTTCCCGGTTATGGTTCATAGACCACTGATGATCCACAAGCTGCAAATCCTCTCCAGCTGATCTGTGGTACCATACATTACCATAATGCAACAATCTCTTTGTGATATTCTGCAAGTGCTCTCTGGTACAATGGAAGCCTGGAAGAGTTAAGGACTGATGGCTACCTAGTGGTCCAAAAGTTTCAAAGTCACTCAGCAATCACTAGCTCTTTCCTTTTTTCTCGTTGTTTAAATACCACTCTTTAAACCAGAAGTAAATTGTCTCTCTCATGATCAGAAACCTTTTCCTTGTCTGCACCAGTGCTTGTGAAGAGCATTCATCATGATAGGACAAGAGGAAATGGGCTCAAGCTGCGCCAGGGGAGGTTTAGGTTGGATATTAGGAAAAATTTCTTTACGGAAAGGGTGGTCAAGCATTGGAACAGGCTGCCCAGAGAGGTGGTGGAGTCCCCATCCCTGGAAGTGTTCAAAAAACGGGTAGATGTGGCACTTCGGGACATGGTTTAGTCTAGTCTACCCTTGATTGGTTTAGTGTGGACTTGGTAGTGTAGGTTAATGGTTGGACTGGATGATCTTAAAGGTCTTTTCTGACCTAAACAATTCTATGATTCTAAGTTTAATATTATTTAATGGAGAAGTTTAAGCGGAAATAATTAAAATAATTTAAAACGAAATGAGGAACAGTAATGCAAAGATCCCAGTAAACATTTTCAACAATTCACAGTGAGAAGCTCTGCTCTTATGATTCAAATCAAAGCTAGACCCCTGCAACTGACTTAGTCACTCAGATGCACTGAACAAGGCCTGTAGATCACAAAAACCAATTTTAAATTGGTTGGAGTTTAATATTAAACTCCAGCTGTATTTCCCATATTTCCCTTTCAGAATTCACATCTATCCCTTTGAATTTTATTGCCTGTACCACAGAGACAGAAGCAAAATGTTTCCTAAATATTGGGAAAACATTAAAGTAAGCAAATGAAAATAAATGTGGAGAAGTTTATCCTGATATAAACATATTTGATTTTTATCTTTGCAAACAGAGAACTAATCTGCATATGCTAGAGTTTGTTGTCTTTGGACATTGTTCTGTGACACAAGAACTACAAAAAACACAGTTTAGTGCAATGAGAAGCCTCCATCCATAGCTCTACAGCTTCATGAATATTAGTACTGAGATAGTGATAAACTTGCATATCAAAAATTTAGTAACTCAGCTCTTCTCTTGTCCCATCTGTCTCCAGACAAAAGTTCACATGGGTACAAGTGAAGAAGCAATATACAAGATCAAGATGTAAAATGCAGCCGGTTCTGTAGGAGAGTAGGTGGCATATTCAATTTAGAAATCTTTTTGCTTTGCTTGCTGATTTGTCTTCTCTCATTCTTTAGGAAAAGTTTATCTTCCTATTTTGAATTATAAACTATGAGAAAGAAGAAAAAAAATGAACTTTGAAGAAAAACCTGCCGTTTTCATGCAAAATTTTTAGTAAGAAAATCTCAAAGAAGCAACCAGACCCAGAAGAGAGACACAGTTCAGAGTACTTTTCAAAATGGTGTATGGCATATGTCATTCTTTAACATACAGAGAGGAAAGCAGATTTTCAAAGTTTGGAATGATAAAGAAGAGATTATTTCACTTACCTCTTTTGGCAATTTTATCAACATATCTTTGCAGCGCTGCACGCACATCACTGCTTTCTGAAAATCCCCTTGAGCAACTGCCTAAGAAAGCAGTAGAGCATGCCAACAAACTTAGTGAGCAACTTGTCTTTAAAATTCATTAAAAGACTGATTCCCCAAAATAGGACTTGGGTTTTTCACATTCAGTAAAGCTAGGTTTGGGATTACATATCTGTCCTTACAGTGCTACAATAATTCTGTATTTTTCTATATATTGCCAGATGATAAAGATATCCAGAAAAACACTGCAGTCCTTAGGTAGTGTGAAAAGGCCAGATACACGGGACAAGTTCACTCAGAGGTTAAGAAGATACAGATCAGCAAATCTTAAACCACCTCTCCTATAATTTAAGGTCCTCTTTTGTCTCCATGATCAAAGTAAAATTTTGGCCACTACTTTGGCCTGTTTAAGGAAGCTCTTGAGAATTTTGGAGATAGTACTCCCCTCCTAGATACTGAGGTCAGTGGTGTTATCAATAAATGCAGGCAACTACATTTTCTCATATTTACACTCATATGTCTGTAATACTCTATAGCACTGATAAAGTACTCAGAAACTTCAGTCAAGCACAACAATGCCTCACAAAACTTAGATTTCTAAATTACATACTTCAAATTACTGTAATTTGTGTTGTTGATCCCCTAGAAAACCTTTAGCACTTTTTCAGACTTCTTTCATATTGTGCTAGGCTTTTTTTTTTTTTTTAAATTATCACCATGGGTCTTACCTCATTGTATGATGCCAGAGGTTGAGACTTTAAAGTATCAAATTTCATGGAACTCACTATTTCCAGATCTTGTAATTTGATACTGATTCTCCCACTGTTTAAAGCCTTTATATGTGGAAAGCAGCATGTATGAGGTCATGGAAGAGAGTGTATTCATGTATAGAAAGATCTCTGTCTGATGGCATATAATATTAATAGCTTTGATGATGTTCATGAGTTTGCAGAGTCATGAAAGTTGTAAGTTACAGAAGACTTTGCATATGTGGCTTATAGCATCTACTTGTTAGATACAAACCTTGGCTATCTGCAGCCATGATGAATACTACCTTCATATACTTTTAATCAGCCTAGCTGCACATACTAGCATAGTATGATGAGCGTTCTAAAGTGACTAATCTTGCTGCGTACGTGTTACACAAATGCAGTTTGGGGGACCCAGGCTCTACACCAGTCCTATCCCCCTTCTTCAGTCAAGCACAGGACACCTTTGAAACTGACACATTTATGATTCAGAGAGCGAGCTGTTTGTTTTATAAACAGCCATGCTAGCCAAGTCATAGAGCAACAAATCTGAACTAGAAGATATAACACCACAGCAGAAATTACTGCGATAAATTAGGCAAATTAAAAATCATTAAATGATTGCAACACTGAATTCAAACATGAGATCTGCCATCTTACATCTAAGTGAAGGAAATATATCCCTCAGCAAGTCTTCAATGCCAAGCATTCATACATCTAATAACTGGGTGAGAGTTTCTCTCTGTACCCCTCGTGACTTATAAGGAAAACTGGGAAGAACACATACTGATTCAGCCTGATAAGAGAGTACTTTGAAGAGGTTCTTCTCCACATCAGCTTTGTGCATATGAGTATCTGCTTCACTACTGCTCCCCTTAAGTAACTTCGCATAGAGTTTTTCTATGCTCTGGAAAACAAAGCATAGGCATCAGCCGTGGAACTTACAAATAGGTGTGTTTATAATAAATTAAAACTGGAAAAGAACTTACACTCATGGCAATCTCTAGAAATCCATCGGCAAGATCAGCTTTTCCCATATCTATCCATGCTTTCCCAGTTTTCATAGACATCTGAAGGAGAAAATTATAAGTGCTTTGTGAAAATACAGTCACTTTCAAGAAAGGCAGTGTTAGATCTCATCTTGTTGATGCACATATCTAACGTAGGAGAGGGGGTATTTCAGCTCTTCAATTTCTGACAAGCGCCTCTCACATCTGAATTAAGTCCTTAACACCTAGATGCAGCATAAGACTTATGGTGCCCTACTAGACAATATTGTAAAATACTGACATAAATGAATATGCTGTTCATATAGCATTTTACCATATGACAAAGATGTGATGCTAACCACACTGTCCAGAAATTCCTAACTGCACTAGCTCAGCATATATATATAGCTGAAGGGGGCTTCAGCATGTATATTCCCCAGAACTACAGGTATATTTCACTCCATTTCCAAAGCAACCATAATAGGGTTTGAAGGTCATCAACTTTCCCTTGGTGATCAACTGTACTTCATTGCTTACCCACCATTAGCCTTACCAAAATCTGTCTTCGAATAGTTCCCTCTGAAGGATCACTGCCTTCACAAAGGCACACCAATCTGCAAGCAACAAACCGTACTGCAAGAAAACAGTGCAGACATTCATAAGTTCCCTTTCCTCTTTTTCTTTTTTTTTTTGAAAGTCAAGCCCTGCCATATCTGAAAGACTGCTTGCCATTTTAAATTACAAGAGAGAAAAACTTGAAAGCTTCAGGAGTCAAAGCAGTCTGAATTTTAGCCCAGCTGCCTAAAACTGCTTTTTAGGCAGTAGGGGAAAAAAAAAAAGATATTCTCATCAAAATACCTATTAAACACTTTAGAGAGTTTAAGTTAAAAATGTGGTATTCAAAGACTTAATTACATTACAGGTGCTTAGAGTAACGTGTCTTGAAAGCCTCAAAATAGCCTTCAGCAAAATAGAGAAATGAAGTTTAATAATCTTTACATTTTCAAAGTAAAAAGCAAAAATATTTTCAAGCCTTCTTTATACATCAGGGATGGAAAAGACACCACAATGTATTTAAAATAGCCTCTCCCTGGCCCTTCAGCTTTAATACAAGATCTGAGAACATTACGCTCTACAATTACTACTTATTTTGTGTAAACTTACCCTTTTCCCTTTACCTGATATATGATGCAGATTACACATAATTTTGACTATAATGCCTCAAGACAAAAATGTAGGCCAGATATTGCAATCCTGCAGAACCACATACAGAACAGGTTGAGGGAAAAGACCAAAAGCTCACTTATGCTTTCCCCCAGCCCTGCTCCTGGCCCCAAGCAAACCCACCAGCTGTGTACCTGGCTAAAGCATAGAAGTAAAAAGAGGATTTAGAGTTTTTCTGTATGTAAACATTGATGAGATAGTTACATTAAAGAAACAATCTCACTTGGTATAAATTAAGTGACCAACAGTCTAAAATTTACATCTGTGTTATTTCCATACATTTTTAGATCAAAACCATAGCATTAGAAGACAAATTACAGCTTCCTTTGGTCACAACACCTATTTACTGATGCTCTGGCATGGAAAGGGGGAGTGGTAAGAATGCCTACTCCTCTGTGTCACAAGGAGATCACTATTACACCAGGATGCTCCTTCCTGAACTGTTTATACAAGCCCAGATGTATATTTTCCTCTGTCTACACCCTATCTGCAAAGATCCAAACAAATCTACAGCGCTACATATATGCCTGTCAGCAGAGAGTTTTTCCTTTTCATGCTACAGCACACAACACGCATTTAGGAAGGTATAGAACACATACATACGTTTAGCTCTTTGCTCATCATTGACAACAGAACCCATGTATTTGGTCACAGCCCAGTTCCACAGGCTTACTGCACCCTCTTCAACCTGAGTAGGAAAATTCCATTAGATTTAATTTTGTCCTGGATTTGGGTCACACTGAAATTTACTACTGGAAAAGGAACCATCTCTCATGTGTATCACAGTAATGACCTGTCCACATGTTTGTGCAACTTCCTTTTACGTTGGGAGTCAAAGGTGTGAGTTTTCCATGAAACTGTTACATGATCCCACAGGGAGATCTGGGATAGTGACCTGAAAACAGGCATGCTGAAGGGACCACATAGCATTTCTTCAGCTAAAAGTATGGATCATTCTTTTCTGTAGATCCATCATTTCAGAAGAATTATAAGCAGCTGGCAGGAAGCACATACTCTTTTCATAAGTATATTTCATAAGATATATTCAGTCTCATAAAAGACTATTTCACATCTTCTAAAAACATGAGAGCACTTCTAAGATGAAGCAAGGTAAGAAAGAACATGACTGTGTAAATCCAAGGCTGACAAGACCTGAAACTAAAAAGAACTAATTAATCGTATGACCAACAGCACGTCACATCATCCCTCAGTGCCTTCAGCTCCAATTTGAAATTATGCATAACAGCAAAATCTGTAAGTGAAGTGGTGGGCTTCAGAAACATTCAAATATGTTCATAAACAAATCCCATTAATCTGTCATATTACTCAAATGTCCTAACCTATGTTTCTATCAAGTCCTTTTCCAAACTTAGCAAAACATGACCTCACTTACTCTATCCATCTGGGATGAAGTTTTCTCACAAACACTCATAGATACAAAATTTGTGCAATAGCACATCACCACATCCAAAATACATCTGATTCACTGGCAGCTTTCAGAATACATTATGTACATTTTAAACAGACGTTGAAAAATTTGAAGGGATTGGAAGTGAGCTGTAAAAATTGTATCAGATTTGAAAATATATCTATAGTAAGGCTTCACTTCTTTTGCTATCAAAAAGAAAACTAAGTAGTTTAATTATCTTAAATACCTACGTTGGGAAACTTCTCATATTAGCAAACAAAGAACAAAGGCTACTGACTATATACTCTTGTTAAAAGGATGATACAGTCCTACATAAAGGCAATAAGCTCCTTTAACAACCCACCTTGAAGGGCTGCACTTCGCATCACTACAAATCCTGGTCTCCATGGCAGATCTTGCCTACAAATACGCTCTTGCCTAACTAGGACATGTTTTAGGGCCCCTTTTATTGAATAGATCGGATTACAGATTAATGATTTCTCCTTTCTTTAAAAATAATTTAGCCCAGCTGATTCAGAAGAACTGAAGGATACCAGTTTTATACTCCTGTATTTCTTTACAGACTGCACTAAACGTACTTTCTGTTGTGACACTTGCTAACATATCTTGCTCTTTGTCACAAATTTAGGACTTTCAAAATCAGTCTTCCTTAGATGATAATCACTATGAGTTAAATCTCCCTTCAAAGTATCATTTTGGAGGAAAAGGTTGGACAGTATCTCAGCTGGTCTTGTTTTTATTCCAAATTCATGTACTACTCATCAGCCTTCTATTTGAAAATGGCCTTTTAAAGTAGACATTTATTACAAGTACTCCTCTAGAAGAAATACACAGAAGAAAAAAACCCTAAAATTAAAAACATTATAAACAACAACCTAATCCACTTTTATAATGTATGAAAATTAGTACTTCCCTAATATTAGGTACTGGCTTTCCCAGGCAGTTAAAATGACATGCTTGCTTGTTTTCTTCTTCCTCAAGCATCTGCCATCATTACTGGACTCCACGCACAGGACAAGAAGGACCTCTCCGCTGACCCAGTACCAAACCCTTAATGCATCAGCACTCTATGCTTGCATTTTTACTTGAAATTACAGTTACATACTACCAGAAAATTGAAATAATAAAAACCTTTACATCACTACGATACCAGTAACTTTTCCCATTATGATGCACACATTCAGGATCAACATTTTGCACTGACTTTTAAAATGTAACATCTTCCACTTTATTTTGGACTTTCACGCTATCGGGTTAAAAGATGAAAAAGATAAACTGTTCTGTTTACATTCCAACAGCGCTAGAGTTAAACGTTTAGCTTCACCGCAAAAGATGGGAAGCAAGAGCACACGCTCGCAGAGCCGCAGCCTCCAACCCGGGCGAGCGGTGCTGTGTGGCGTGAGCCTCGCGAAACCCCACTTCTTCGGGCATCGAGCCGGGAGGCCGGGGCTCTACCTCAGCCGCACTCCCATCCTCCTCAGAGATGCTCCCCGCCGCCTGGAAGAGCTCCTCGGTGAGGGCAGCGATGCGAGACGGGGCCTCCTCCCTCAGCAGCTCCCGCACCAGCCCTGTAAGACAGGGCGAGAGGGG